TTATTAATCTTCTGCCAAATTGTATCGAGCGCGCCGGTGGACGTGTGAAGCTCCTTCAATGCCGAGTGGGCACTCTCTACCCTACAGGAAGTTGTGTTTCCAAAATGTGTCACTCGGTTGGTCCAAGCCTTCACAAACTTCTCGCGGTGCCCTAACCATGTGCTCTCCACATACCGTATCACCTCTGGAGAATTCGAATATTTTGCGTGCAGCTCGGCAACGGCATCGGTGTAGTCATCCAACGTACTGGCCTCCGCGATACGTTTCCACGTACTGTGCGTGAAAATCTGCCTGAATTTTTTACTCTTCCCAAAGAGTTTGTATGCTTTGTCTTCCACATCCTTGTTGATGTGCCACGTGCAGAGTAAGTGGGCTGATTCGGGAAAATGCCTCTTAATAGGATTGATTAAACCCAACTCTCTGTCACTGACAACTACATTAGGATATACGTCTTGGCCTATCAGTAGTCTTAATTTTTGTAGAACCCAGTCGTAATTGGCCTCTTTCTCGTCCCTGATGAGCGCATACGCAATTAGGAAGTTCTGGTTGCATGGCGTCATCCCAATCATCTCGACAAACGACATCTTGTACCTGTGCAAATGGGACGAAGAAGACAAAAAGTATAATAAAATAAAAGTTAATTCAATCAAACACACTATTTAAGATTCATACTAATAAAGTATTTATAAAATAACATACCTGTTGGTTTTATACGACGAATCTATGCTGACATACCAGTGATATGTCCAGAATAGATTGATCGACGCAGAATGGGCAATGAATATATGCGTCAACGCTTTCGTGTTCGGATCGGATTCTGCATAAACTGTATACTCGCTGCTCATGGCCAAATGCATAAGTTGTGAAGGAACGTCTCTACCCTCGAAACTCTCTTTCCGCATCTTATCTCTGAAGTTATATACCTGTCACCGATTAGCGTTAATTATAATGATTATTATAATTTAAAACAAAAGAAATTATTATATTTTTTTTTTTTTTTTCCGAAACGATAGGAATATTATAAAACTCAAAGCGAACAATGTTCGAATAGTACAGACGAAGAACCAAAATAAAAGCTGGGAGGACACGCATATAGCGGCCTAGAACGACAACTCAAACCGAAAACCACTAAAATACCACCCACTGCCCGAAGGCCTAGAGGTACATACAAGACAAACAGCAACACAAACCTAACTAAAACAGACTAAGCAAACAAAGAGACAAAAGAAACAACTCAAGCCTAAGCAATAAAACAGAAGACACAAAAGGGAACAACTCAAAACTATGACTTAAGCTTAATAAAGTCGAGCCAATCATGGAGTGCGGTCTGCAGGGTGACTGATATGGGCATGAGAGTGTGCTGAAAGATGCTCAGATTACGGGTTTTCCAGAGCCACCAGAGAATGTAGGTTGTAAGTTGTATTCGAGCCTCTGATGTCTCTGAATAAGGCAGTGAACAGATGTCCCTCCACCAGCAGCTAAATGTGGACTCCTGGGATGGCTGAAAACTCCAAGTGACTGGAGAAGAATTCCACAGATTTACAGCTCTTGGGCATTGAAAGAGAACATGGTTTACTGTCTCCGGCTCCTCTCCACAAATGCTGCAGATAACATCACAAGGCAGACCCTTTTTCCTCAAATTTGTTTTGACTGGTAGTGCTCCCTCAATGCATTTCCATATGAAGATTTTGACTTTGTTAACAATGTTCAATTTCCAGAGCCTGTTTCTGAGTTTGAGCAAAAGAGGCCCTGTCATGCTGCTGCTATCAGGAATATCCAAAGCAAGAAGTTTCTGTTGTGCAAGATAGGAGTAAGTACTGGAGACTGAAAAATCTCCATTTTTGTTGAATTTCCAGTAGGGTCTGTCTTGCTTTCCAGGTTTGAGAGTTTTAATGTTCAAAATGGCTCTGCTGTCTTGTTCATTAAACAGTTGATTGATCAGCCAAACATTCCAGTGAGTCCCTGCAGCATCCATAAGCTCTTTGACCCAAATTATATGCCCTCTGGCAATGTCAAGCAAAGAAGGTCTGGGGTATGGAAGGTTAGGAACCCAGTTGACATCATTAATTCTGGTAGTCTCACCATTTCTGATTTCAACAGCAAAACCTTTGGCAAAAGTAGGTATAGCCTCCAACCAGTTGGCCCATAACCATGAACAAGATTGAGATTTACCTGCCTCAAAGATAGAGCAGTGAGGGAAGTACTTGTCCTTTAAGATTCTACTCACCAAAAGGTTTGGCTGGGTGGTTATCCTCCACAGTTGTTTGCAGATGAGGGACACATTGAAAAGCTGAAGATCCAGAAAGCCAAGCCCACCATGTTCTTTGGGAAGTGTCAATCTATTCCAAGCTCTCCAGTGAATACCACTGGTATGATCTTCCTTTGTACTCCACCAAAAGTGAGAACAGAGTTGAGAAATTTTAGCACACAGAGTTTTAGGAAGCATGAAGCATGACATAGTAAAAATAGGTAGAGCTTGCAGCACTGCAGTGATAAGAACTGATTTCCCAGCTTGGCTAAGAAGTTTTGATTTCCAGTTACTGATCTTACTCTGAACAGAGTCAATGATATACTGGAATGTGTCTAGCTTTGATCTGCCAATGCTAAGAGGGAGACCCAGATATCTTGTGGATCTATGCCTGACAATTCCTGGAAGTGCAGCACATATTCTGTTTTGGAGGATGTCTGGAGTTTTCCTACTGAAAAAGATGGATGACTTGCTCATATTGACTGATTGACCTGTAAAAAGCCTATATCTTTCCAAAATTGTGAAGATGGAGTAAGCCTGATCTACAGTAGCCTTACAGAAAATCAAAGAGTCATCTGCAAAGAGCAGATGGGAGAGGACAGGGCCATTTGTAGACAGCTTCAACCCAGACAGATGGCCATTTACAGTAGCATGGTTAATCAGAGTAGAAAGGATTTCAGCAACACAGAGGAAAAGATAAGGGGATAGTGGATCACCTTGTCTTATTCCTCTAGTAGGAAGGACATAACCTTTGACTTCACCATTAATCTTAAAAGAAAATGAAGAAGTAGAAATGCAGACCATGATAAGGTTGACAAAGTCCAGGTGAAACCCCATTTGAATCATAATCTTTTTCAAACATATCCACTCTACTCGATCAAATGCTTTCATGAGGTCAAGTTTCAGAGCCATAAAGCAATGTCTGTTAGAAGAATGTCTGTTTAGAAAATGAAAAGCTTCTTGTCCAATAATTACATTGTCCATAAGTTGCCTCCCTTTAATGAAAGCTGATTGAGAATCACTGATACACACCTCCATACATTTTTGAAGTCTGGTTGCAAGGATTTTAGCAACAATTTTGTAGATGATGGTACACAAACTAATGGGTCTGAATTGAGTCACATATTCAGGATTTAAGCATTTGGGAATGAGAGTGACTATAGTGTGATTCCAGTATTTTAGCAACAGACCTTTGTCATTCAAAAAACTAGATACAGCAGATACCACATCAGTTTGAACAATATCCCAGAAAGATTGATAGAAAAGAGCTGTCATACCATCCTCTCCTGGAGATTTGTCAGGCTGAAGGCTGAACAGAGCTGCTTTGATTTCATCTGCTGTGGTTGGAAGAAGAAGGAGTTGGTTCATCTCAGTAGTGATTGAGGGAGTGATAAGAGGGAGGATGGAATCTCCCCCCCAAGACCCTTCTGTGGTGAACAAGTCTGAATAGAACTGAGTGATATGATTCTGGATCTCAAGAGGAGTTTCACAAGAAGAGTTCTGGCCAGTAAGGAGTCTTGTGATAGCATTCTGCCGCCTTCTGGACATAGTATAAGCATGAAAGAATTTCGAGTTGTTGTCCCCTTCCTTGAGCCATTGAATTTTTGCTTTTTGTTGCCAGAAAAGCTCTTCAGATTTGTGGGCTTGCTGAAGCTCAGATTTTGTTGTGACCCACTCAGCCCAATTAGTAATACCATCATTCTGCTGCAAAGAAGCCAGTTTTTTGGAGAGATTGGCAATGAGAGATTGGTTCTGGGACTTGAAGCTTGCACTCCAGATTAATAAAGCTTGTCTTGTTGCCTTGACTTTCTCTTTCAGGATAAAAAAAGGAGTACCAGTAAAGGTGTTGTTCCAAGCCGATAGAACAATGTCCTGAATTCCATCCCTAGAGAGCCATCTTCTATCAAAGTGGAATCTGCTTTTTCTTCTCTGAGATCTGTCTCCTGAGGTAAGCATTAACATGGAGTGGTCTGAAGCTGGCCTTGCAATATTAATGACTGAGGCTTGTGGGTGCAGCTCCAACCAATCAGCTGATGCAAAGCCTCTATCCAACTTGGCTTCAATAAGACCTTCATGGAACCTGTTGTTGCACCAAGTGAATTTATATCCAGTCATTCTGATTTCCTCCATTCCCATATGATTGATAAAAGAATTAAAGCCATCCATGCTAGAAAGGGTTCTAGCAATGCCACCTCTTTTTTCTTCCCCGCTGCAGATATCATTCCAATCACCTAATATGTACCAAAGTTGACCCCAAGATTGCTTGGCCAGAACCAGTTCTGCCCATTGAGATTGTCTAATCAGAGAAGTGGTGCTGAGGTAGACAAAAATCCCCCAGGTGGGGCTGGTATCAGGAAAGCTATAATGAACTGCAATGTAGAAGGGATAATGTACAATCTGGTTAATTTGAACTTCAGAATCCCAGCAAAGAAGTAATCCCCCACTGAGGCCTGTTGGGTCTACTATGGAGCATCTGTTGTCATATCCAAGTTTTCTGACTACTGTTTTGACAAAAGCTGAAGGTTGCTTAGTTTCAGACAGAAAGAGAAAGGTTGGGTGGTGAGTCCTGCATGACTCTCGGATTTGGGAAATTGTAGAGGGCCCACCCAGCCCTGTACAATTCCACACCACGGCTAGCATTTGTCACTTGGGTGCCAATCGAGGCTGGCCACCACCACCTGGTCAGAGTCTATCTTGAGTTTCTTATTGCCTTCCAAGTTGTGAGGATTGGATTGATTGTCTGCGTTTTGACCACTCTCATCTAGTCTGGGTCTCTTCAATGAGGTATTAGTATCTTGGTTTGAAAGAATGATAGTTTGCCTCTGTAGTCTTCCTAATCTGGAATCTGATCTTTTCCATAGTCTAGGTTTAGTTTGCAACTTGTCAGAGGAAGAAAGCTGCAGAGGTTTTTCCAACTCAGTAGGTTCCACTTCCATTTCTTGAGTAATACTCAGAATATGCTTGTGAGGACATTGAAGTTTCTCTGAGGATGGTAATATATCAATAGGGGAGTTTGGTGAGGTAGGAGTAATGGCCTGAATGGGTTGAGAGGTTGATGCTGCAGAATTTGGATTTTGGTGATTTGATGGTGAGCCTTCTATAGAGAGAAGTCTGTTGTTATCATTTTGGTGGGAGAGGGGGTTAGATACATGGTTGTCTGCTGATGTGGGTGATGGGGGATTCTCTGAATTTGAAGGGCCTTGAGAGCTTTGTGTATTGGTGCTAGCCCAATGATGGTTGTCAGTTGCCCTCATCCATGCTCCATATTGACCTTCTTGCACATTTCCTGTTCTGATATCATCCATTCTTTGTGCACATGATTTATCCAAATGACCTATTAGGCCACAATAGTAACAATGATTGACTAATTTCTCATATTTAAACCCCACATTGACAGTTTGGTCTTCCATTCTGAGATTTGCACAACGGGGCAGAGCTTCCTTTAAATCCACAGTGACAAGAAGGCGCATTATTCTTCCTCCATGACTGCCTGCCCCAACAATAACCACATTCTGCACTTGCTTGAACACCTTCCCAATTTTTCGACCCACTTCTGTGCTAAGCCAATCTAAAGGAATGTTGAATGCTTGAACCCATAAATTGAGATAATTAAAAATCGAATGATTAATCGAAAGGCCTCGTTTCCATTCTGCAAGGATGAGGTATTGGTTGTCATAAGTCCAGTTGGTGCCTCTAGCAACTCGTTCTTTATCTTCCTTGCTTTGAAAAATAAATTGGTAATAGTTCGGCCCGAGGTCCTTCACGTCCATAGGCTGTTGGAGTTTCCATATCTGGCTCATGGCCCTTTTGACGCCAATCCAGCTGTTTTTCCGATCCCCGACAATCTTCCCAAACAGACTACGCTGACATTCGTCTGCACTGAGCTTAATGTCTTCCTGTCCGATGTCGATGAAGGAGTTTTCTTTGGCAGACAGAGACACATTATGCAATTTTTGAGCCAACTCTTCATCCTGTCCAATGCAGGTCGGAGTGGCCATAAAAAACCCTAATTTAAACTAGAATATGAAATGGAAGGTCTGATGATGGCGATGAAGAAAGGAACAGATAAAATGGCGATATAGAAAGGAGATATGGATTGCTGAAGAAGAAAGTCCCCAAAGATCGCTCCCAGATGAGAGAATGTGGATCGCTCCCAGATGAGAGAAATTATTATATTAATAAATAAAAAACTATATTAATTAATTTATTTGAAAAAAAATTATTAACTATCATTATAATAATACATTAGTAAATATAATAAAATTTTACATATAAAAATTTATAACTTATTATAATTAACTTCAAAAAGTTAATTAAAACATATAATACAAGATATAAATATATATACCTATCGCACATGAACGTTGTCTCCCGGATTTATTTCCTTCAGCGCGGCCATAATTTTTGCCGGGGCCACCTGAGCGTCCGTCATATCACGAACAATTTTCTTAGATGAAGCACTGAGGCCGCTTAACTGGCGATGACCCTCAGGATACACAACAAATGCATGGTTATGGTAGCCCTTCTCTGCATTGCTACATCTACAGATCCTCCAGTATGGCTGGCCGGGCACCTTTTTTACTTTGATCTGAAAGTCGCAGTCGCACTTATTCGTTTTTGTCTTTTTAGAATTTACGCCTGTGCCTCTGTAGCGTTCGCCTCTATGGCACTTCAAAAGTCTGACCGTTTTCTTTTTGTGGCTCGAAATTATTAATGTGAAACCATTGAGCATTGCCTGGTGTTTTGCAGCTTCAATAGCCTCCTCAACACTATTAAAGCATGTACTGGTATCGAAGCCGAGACTGTAATCAACACCATCTCTTCCAAAATCTTCCCACGACTCCTGCTATATAGTACAGTATTTATATTTTTAGAACATGTTAAATATGAATATATTCATTCTAATGTATAAGATAATTAATTCTAACATGTAACAAAATAATGTGTAACTCATAACATGATATTATCAGACGTCCAATTTATAATATAATCAACTATAACATGTAACATAATAATTTGTAACTCCTAACACGATAATATCTAACGTCCAATTTATAGCATAATGAAGTCTAACATGTAACACAAAAATTTGTAACTCCTAACACGAGACGTCCAATTTATAACATAATCAACTATACCATGTAACATAATAATTTGTAACTCCTAACACGATAATATCTAACGTCCAATTTATAGCATAATGAAGTCTAACATGTAACATAATAATTTGTAACTCCTAACACAATAATATCTAACGTCCAATTTGTAGGATAATCGAGTTTATAATGTAACATTATAATTTCTAACATAATAATCAAGTCCAATTGATAACATAATTATTTCGAATATATTAAATAATAATTTAAAAAAAAAAGTGTCCGGCCGGCCGAACCGAACGGGCCGGTTTCGACCGGCCGTCGCTGCCGGACGGTTTTTAACCCGTCCGGCCGAGCGGTTCGGACAGGGACGGTCCGTCTGGCCGAAATTTCCGGCCGGCTTTTACCTCGTCCGGACCGGCCGGCCAGACGGGTTAAAAACCGTCCGGTTCCGGCGGTTGGACAGGCTAAAAGCCGTCCGGATCCGGCGGTTGGACAAAAAATTTTCATACCTCGGAATTTGACGACATTTTACCGTACACTTTGCTCTGCAATGTTTGGAAAAAATGAAAAGGGCAAAATTGTCCAAGGGGGGCGGTGACTAGTAAAAAGGGGGGCGGTGTTTAGTACCACCCTAAAGTTAAGAGGTTTAAGGTTTACGGATTCACATGGGGTTTGCCAATTATAACCTCCATCAAACCTCAATAAATAATAATAAAATAAAAGATAGAAAAAAGAATGTGGTGGAGAGTGAACCAAAACAATTAATTTGAATTTTAGTGGAAAACATGTGGGACCTATAAAAAAGAGGTTTATAGAGTTTATTGTTATTGGATGTTTATGGGGGTAGGAATAAAAATGAGGTTTTGGATGATGTGTCATATTGAGAAATGTAAAAGTAGGTTTATTGAGGTTTATGGTTAAAGATGCTCTTAAGTAGGACAAGCAATGCTACTGTTCGCCAGAGCTGTGAGTCCAAATCTAATCCTCGTTTATCAATTAAATAACATATTCTACTAATAACAATAATAAATAATGTGTGTATACATGTACTGCATAAATAGTGCACATGTACTACGTTATATATGTATTGCATAAATAAATCGCGTGTGCTACACGTGTACTGCGCATATAATAAACATATAGACATATTCAAAAAATAAATATATATATATATATATATATATATATATATAGAGAGAGAGAGAGAGAGAGAGAGAGAGAGAGTTAGGATCATATGAGAATGAATCATAATGAAAGAAATGAGAATACATTGGTCTAGATCAATCATATTAATGGTTATGATGAAGTCAAACCATGGTCAATCATTAATGGCAATCTGGTAATTTTGATCATATTGTGGTCAAATATGTGTGTTTGACCAATAATGAAGGATAGTTTGGACATTTAATTTAAACCCAATAACATTGTGGGACCCACCACTACACATTAATAATTAATATCAACATAAATGACCGACACCCCACCTACCCCCCTCTCCCCCACACACACACATTACACATCACTCCGCTGCGTCTCGTCCATCTCCGGCAGCCATTCATCCGCCGCGCCACTGTATACCTTCACAAGCCCGCCTCCGTGCACCCGCCGTTCGTCCACCGCGTCTCTGCCATCTCAGGCCCGCCATTCGTCCGCCATGCCGCTGCATACTTCCACAATCCCGCTGCCATGCGCTCGCCGTTCGTCCGCCGCGCCTCCGCTATCTCAGTCCCGCCGTTGGTCCGTCGCGCCTCCGCCATCTCAGACCCGCCGTTGGTCCGTCGTGCCTCCGCCACAGACACACACACACAACCCAGACGCCATCGAACAGCACCATCGGCAGCCTTAGGTTCCGTCCGACGCCACCAAACCGCAGCCGTCGGTGTTCTCGCCTCCGACCCAACCTGCCACGGCTCCACCCCCGCCGGCTCGACCACCGCCACGATCTGGCCATCAAAGTCACATCCACTTCGCCGTCTACAGCCGGGTGAAAGTTTCCATCTCCGAATTCTGGCTCCTCCGTCAAACACATCGCTCGAAACCCTGTTTGTATCATACCTCAGCGCATCCGGCAGGGAGGATCTGATTTGCGCCGATTGTGGTGGGATGATGCGGGGCGGTTTCTGCAGATGACTGTCATTCGGGATTTATGGAAGTTGTTGAGCCTTGTTTTCAATCGAGAGAAATGTGAAGACCATATGGATATGTTGTTTGGGGGAGTAAAAGAATAGTGATTTTAGGAGAAGATGAGAAAGATGACATTAGGATTAGGTTAGGGGTGATTTAGTGCAAATTAGGTAATTTTTAGGAACAAATATGTAATTTTGAGAAACTTTATTTTTATGTAATTTAATTAATGGTTTAAATGTCAATATTATTACAAATCTAATAATTGTAGTATATTGTTAAAAAAAATTATATAACATGTATATGGATATTCATATTAAATTTCAAGAAAATTTACTATAGTTAATTTTAATTGATGGATTAAATATGTAGTTTATTAAAAATTTAATAATGGCACAATCATGTCAGATGCAATGCACAACAACGATAAATAATTTGCACAACATCGTGTATTTATGTTCGTTGGATATTGCTCGATTTTGTGCAATCTGATAAGCATTTATGTGCAATCCGTATGACCCTAATGTGCACTCGCAATTCATAAAAAATATAAATAAAAATATTATTATTTATAATAAAAAATAATAAAAAAATCGGTAATATTTTTCATACAGTTCGACATGTTCGGTTATTTTGTTATTTAACAATAACTAAATACGACATTAGCCAACTAATATTATTCGATAGATCATTAGAATTACTGTAATTTTAGTATGTGGATCGTGTTGTGTTATAAGGTGCAACATATTGTTGTATAAAGTGCAATGTATTTTAACAGGATTGCCTTTTTTTTTCGTGGATATATGATGTGATGGATAGTAAGCATTACTCATACCGATGGTACTTTTTATCACAATCCAAATTAAAATGAAACATAAATGATCAATTCATTCGTCAGTTGTTCGACTTAACCGGAACAACTGAATTAACTTAATATGTATATTTATAGTATTGTAGTTAGTATTTTAAAATTTAAAGTAAAACTAGATAATTGTTAATAATATAAAATTTCAAATCGAAATTTTTAATCTTGTCACTTGTGGTAGTTATTGTTTAAAAAATATACAAAATAATATTTTTTTTAATATAGTTTGGTTTTTATTTCAGTTATTTAAATAAAAAATGATATTGTACCGAAATTCCCGATATATAAAATAATAATAATAATAATAATAATAATAATAATAATAATAATACTAACTATAATAATAATAAAAATAATAATAATAATGATAATGATGATGATAATAGAACCAAAATATAAAAATTCGTACCGAATTTATGTTCGTCGGATATCGTTCGATTTTGTGCAATCTAATAGACATTTACGTGCAATCCGTATAACACTAACGTGCACTCTCAATACATAAAAAATATAGATAAAAATAGTATCACTTATAATAAAAAAATATAAATAAATAAAAAGAAATCGGTAATATTTTTCATATAGTTCGACATGTTCGATTAATTTGTTTATTTAACAATAACTAAATACGACATTAACCAACTAATATTATTCGATCGATCATTAGAACTAATGTAATTTTAGTATGTGGAACGTGTTGTGTTATAAGGTGCAACATATTGCCGTATCAAGTGCAATGTATTTATATATAAAGTGCAATACTGAAATTATGGTATTTTAATAGGATTGCCTTTTTTTTAGATATATGATGTGATGAATATTAAAGTATTATGCCACTCCGTTCTTTATATTTATATTGCGTAATATTTTGGCGAGAGTTGTTGACATTAATTGTGGAGTGTGGTTATAAAGTGCAACGTGTTATTTTATAAAGTGCAACATTCTGCTATATAAAGTGCAATGATTTATACCTCTCTATATAGATTACGTGTATTCGAAAATTAGTTTTAATATATATAATTGTACATCGAATTAAGCTAAATAAATAAAATATTTGTTTATTTATTATTTTTATCATATAATTTATTTATTATTATATATTATGTTTATATTATTATGATATTTTTATATTACTTTATTTAAGTCGAGTCAAATGTAGTGGTGCTGGAAAAATCGACCGTCGAGCTTCAATGGAGGATCTTGTAAGAAAAAAAAAATCAGCGGACGTTGCCGGAAAGCGGCCGATTCTGCCGACTTACAGGTCGGACGTCAATGACCGCTGAAATCGGCGACGCCGGCCGTCACCGGATGGAGAAGGCTGACGACGGGGTGAATGGAAGAGAAATACAGACGTGAGGGGGATGGGGATTTCCCCAAATCTTGCCGGCAGGTGTAACGCCCCAAATCAGTAATAATAGTAAGAACGGTTTCACTGCTCGACTATAAGTGAAATCCGAAATTTTCAGAAATTCCCGAGTTATAATTAGTATGCTAAATGCTCAAATATTGTAAATTATTCTTTGAATAATTTTATATCAAGTTTAAGTTAAGATTAATCCATTAATTTGGGTTGTTAAATAATAGCAAGTCGATTCGAGAAATTATCAACTACGAACCCTAGTTCGGTTCTGAGTTATTTTCTAGTACATTCCGAGCCTAGCCAAGTATTGGTATTTTATACTTGGAATATTTTCTAAGTGTATCATAATACCAAAGTTAAGTTTTGATCATTTAGAATCGAGCCCTAACCGAGCCTCGAGCCCGAGCCTCGGACCCAACCATTAGCCGCGCCCACGAACATTCACCGAGCCCTAAGCATTGGTCCAAGCCTTATCATCCTTTGCTAAATATTTTCTAAGTGTTGAAGGCCTAACCTAAGCATTTTACTCGGCCCTAGTCATTCCCGCGCAGCCCAGCCCGCGCCCTCGCGCCCAGCCCGCGTCCCCGCGCCCAGGGCCCAGCGCCCAGCCCAGCGCCAGCTTTGGCAGCCCACCTTATTGAGCCCATATGACATAATTCCGGCCCACTTTCACCCAAGACCCCTTAATTCGTGTATTACACACTTAATAAGGATCAGTTTAAGATAAAATGGCCCTAATGAAGATTAGCCAAAGTCAAACTATGCTTAACCAAAGTGGACATGTGCCTTACATTAAAATATTCAAGATTCCTTTGTCCTTGTCCCCCACCCCCGTGCCAGACCTGACCTGAACTCTCCACCATGATTTTTATACTCTAAAATAAGCTCAAAGACCGTGCAAAGTCAGGCCTTAAGCATGCCTAAGGTCTTGGACCTAAATTCCATGCCATGAGATGGGATTCTCACTTCATTTGTCCCCCACAAAGTCACCTAGCTATCTCCGCCCAAACCAGTACTTAAGGAGCCTTCCTTAGTCCCTTGTAAGCTCTTGCACAACTTGAAGCCCGAGCATATAGTGAGAGTTGGAGAGAAAATTTGAGAGACACTTACCTTGGCCATTTCCGTGCGCGAGCTGACCCGGGGAAGGAGAAGAGCAAGGTTCGGCCACCTACAGCCATAATCTCTCGAGGCTTAGCAGCATCTAAGTGTTCCTTAGATTTTTCTAAGCCTTTTGGAGTTGATTGGCCCGAGCAAACCGCAACCTAAGTCCACCCTAAGTCCCAAAGTCGCGCCTAGCCCACCTTTGGCCCTAGCTAGCCATTTTCGATTTTTTGAGCAAGGTTAGCTCGACCGATCTTTCTACCACATCATATTAATGATATTTGAGGATTTTTCATGAAGAAAAATCAAGCCATGCATGTGTTTAAATGCAAGTTTCGAATTTATTAAGTTAATGACCTTAAAAATGAAATTTTAGTAGCAAGCAGGTTAAAGTCGAGATTATTAGCTAAATCACCCTTAAATATCATGTCATTGATGGTGTAAAAATTTTAATGTAAATGGAGTTCATTGCCTTGGTCAAATCATTCATGAAAATATGCTATTTTGGTCACCCGAGGCCCATCCTCATGCATGCATGATATGACCTAATTGTTAGCCATTATAGTAATAATTTGTGATGTATAACATTCGGCCCTGAGTAGTTTTGTAAGTTATGAATGTTGGTTCGGACGTCAAGTGCTCGTACGTGCCATTTAGGCCCTATCGAGTGAACATGCAAGTGGACCCGGGGTCCACTAGTGTTTCATAGCATATTTGTGCCTATTTTATCATGCTAAGTTCATATGTCATGCACGTCACCGGAAAAAGTCGCCGGAGGTCCGGCAAGGGTCGGCCTTGGTCACTGGCCGCGCATGTAGCGCGGCAGTGCCGGCCTAAGTCTGTCCGTGCCCGCGCCAGCGTGCGCGGGGTACCCGCAGCACCATTGCCCGCGACAGCACGCCAGCAGCGTGATAAAGATGTGGTCATTGACCCTGGCAAGCCCGAGGACGATACCCATGATGGCCTCGAGAGATGGCGAGAGGTTAGGCGGGAAAGGGCTCGAGGACGTGCTAGACGGGTGTGCGTACGCACTAAGGCACGCATACCGACGGGACGCGGCAACCGAGCCGCAAGGCGTGTGAGTCTAGGCCGGGTGAAGAAGAGGTGCGCGACGAGTAGTGCGCATGAGCATGAGGCTTGGGCCGACGACGAGAGTGAAAGGGTAGTGCCCGGGAAGATGGGCTATTGGTGCAAGGCATGCGCGAAGGATAGACGTGCACGGTGTATGCGGGCTACGGCAGAAGGTGCACGAGGGGAGGATGTAGGGTGGACAGCGTGCACTTGGGGCGGCTGCGAAGGAGTGGACGCGCGAGTGGACTGAGGTGTCACGATGGACCCGAGGAGCGGGTGCGAGCGGGGCCCGATGATGGAAGTCACGCGCGAGGCGCTGGTCGAGTGGGATGATGAAGTGGTCATGCGCGACACACGCGCACGTGGCT